CATACGACACGCTGGGTTGAAAAATCCAGTGTCGTCACATGCTTGACCTTATTTACGCACATAAGTATATAGATATATACATATTGACAAGAACATAAACCTTGACACGATCATGACCTACCACATTAGTTTAAACAATGAATCCATTAAATTATTATGTCAAATTAAATATGCTATTCATCCTCATCATCATTCCATATAATACATACTTGCACAACCCGTGCTCACAGCTTGCCATCTTATCACGTATAAAATCCTTCCAAATACTTTCACATTTCATTTTCATGGTTGGATCATATAACTACTTCACATGCATGACCATGTAACACAAATTTCAGTATTTAAACATGTAAGCACTTAGCAAATAGGCATGCCTCCAAAACTATAAACATATAAACAAGTAGCAGGTAAGCATGATTCATAAAACGGTAAGTACATAAATACAACCACGTAATCAATGCAAGTCAACCATTTATCCCTCTAGGAAAGCCACTACCCGTCGTCCTTAGGTTTTCGAACCTAAAGTTCTGATACCAAATTTGTAACAACCAAAAAATAAAAAAAAAATGGAAATAAAAATTTCCGCACGACCTTTATATAAAAAGTCCTACTATGACCTACTGAAATACATATAAAATGCAATAGTCTTACTTAGCCTCGAAACTAATCTATCATGTCCCAACGCATAATGCAATAATATACAACATCCCCAAAATCAACACATATATACAAAATGTCCCGTTTTTCTATCTCCTCCAAACAAGGAAACACTTTAATTACATTAAGTTACAGTCCATGAAATATATTTACAACATTATACAAGTTACACTTAATTTTTTATTTTTTTATTTTTTATAAAAGGTACATGATCATGTTTCTATACAAAAGACAACAAAATAAAAGTTCTAGTCCAGTCTTAATTTGCAATGGGTAGCCGCCCTCCCCTTCTTTCCCCAAACCTGAAAAATGTTAAAATAATGGGGTGAACATAAACTCAGTAGGAGGTGTCTAAGATACACTTCTTATGACCCCGTGAATTCACGCAAAAAATAGGCAAAAAGTAGACGGGATCATGTCGTAGGGAATGCACATCAACAACCACAACTACAAGCTTATAAATATTTGTCATTGTAACACAAATACACCAAATATGCAAATGAAGTGCAATGTCATGCCAATGTTGCTCCCCATTTTTCAAAACAATTCCTTTTCACCATTCCAAACCGTTAATACAACCCGACCTATAACACCTCTATGGCATCACGAGGGAAGGGTTGGCTAGCTTTCCCCGACCACATGGCACCTCCATGGCATTGTCTGGGCCTAGATAGCTCAACCACACTAGAGTCTCTCTCTATTTCCCTCTAGATCACACTTATACCACGGACTACTAGGTGCTTCTTAGGTATTTGGTTTTCACAAACACTTTCCAAAAATGTTTTTCCAAAACAATTCCATTGCCTTTTAAAAACAACTTTTCCCCCATTCCATGCCCAATGAAAATGCATAAATGCACTATGCCCCTTAAACATCATAATTCTTTATACATTTGAATTCTTAATCATAAACACAATTGGGAGAAAAATTATATAATACACATATCATGTTTCTTACTATATCTTTGGCAACTCAAATACATAAGGCATGAAATATAATCATTTAAGGCATGTTTTCCCATAAAATGGCAACTAATATATAATCACATATCACACATACAACAAATAAATCATTTTTGCAAAGAATCCACACTAATTAAGCATGCGATACAACAATTCATGAAGAATAATTCACAAAAATCTAAGAAAAATGTGAATTAGAAACCCCTACCTCTTAATTGAAGAAAAGCCCCAAAATCCGCAAAATCCATGCCCTAATTTTGAAATCCTTAAGGGTGGCCAAATGGTGATTGGCTCTAATCAGAATGACGGCCTCGACGAGCTCTCTGACTTTGCCTAAGGGAGTACCATCAAATTCTTAAAGGGCAAGGCTTAATTAAGCCTTGAAATGGTGAAAAACAAAAAAAAAAAAAAAAAAAAAAAGAAAAGAAAAGAAAAAAAGAATGACCTAGGCATAGAGAGAGAGAGAGAGAGAACGTCACTGAGAGATAAGAGAAAATTTAAGAGAAAATTGAAGTCTGGGATGAAATGAAAGTCTTTTGTAATGACTTTCATAGTGATAGGTCCTATGCAATATAAAAATATTTCTTTTATCATTATTATTATATATATACACAATAAACATTATACAACCACACAAATTAATACACCACCATGAAATTGTGCAAAAATAACAATGCATGAAATGCATTGGACCCGTGATGCAACTCCAATACACAACAAATCCGGTAGCGGGTCTCACTCGGGACCTTCCGGTCCAAAAAATAGAAAAATGCCAAACTGGAAACCAGTGCGTTTCCAAGAGTTCTGAACCCAAGGAAATGCCCCAACCAACTCTCGGACAAATCTGGCACACCCCACAGTATTCGGCACGTAAAACGAGAAAAGGCGAAAAATAATCCAGAAAATTGAAAACAAGGAAAATCATAAACATTACACGGGTCCCGGCCAGGACCACTTAGCCTGAAAAACTAAAAAATACCAAAATAACAACAATGAATTTCTAAGAGTCTTAAACTCAAAGAAATGCCCCACCCAACTCTCACAACACACCCGGCACACTACACGATTCCTGACACATAAAACGAGGCGAAACGAAAATAATCAAGAAAAATTGAAAAATCCTAGAAAATAGAAAATAAGAAAAATCAGAGATACTACAAATTTTAACTTGAAATGACTATTTTATCCCTCGTGAGCCTAGGGTTCCAGCATGAACCCGAAGTCGGAGTTACCATTGTTTAATGATCGAATATGGTTATAAATGACTAGCATGACTTCATTATAACTTCCAACTCACTGTAAGGTACATAATGACCATTTTGGTCTTAATTAACCTTTGGTTCAGGTAAGGAATCATTAATAATTCGGACCCTCGGGTTCAAGTTGTTACATATCCATCACTTCTCAATCCTTCCCTCCAACCAAACATAGTATTAAATTATAATACTATCCTCTAATCTCTATAAGTTACAATATGGTAAAACAATTTAAAACTCTTTATTTCTTTCTCTCCTTACAAATATAATAAATTGTGAACTTATTCTCTTCTCTTTCATTAAACCGGATAAAAAGAAGAAGAAACTAATCTCTTCCATAAGAATATCTTATCCATCTCTTCTTTTCTCCTTTCCATCTAAAATATTTATTTCCTATCGAACGAAACATTAGTAATTTACCCAAAGGTTTTCCAAAACGCAGACTTGACATATATATATATATATATATATATATATATATATATATATATATATTAATTGGGTGGCGCATTTAAATAAAGAATTCTGATCACTTGGTGATTTGCCAAAAGCATTTTTAATTTATACGCACACTTGACATATACATACACACTAATTGGGGTGGTGCATTTGAATCAAAAAGTCTGATGACTTAGTGATTTGCCCGTAGGATTTCCAATACTCTAGACTTGACATATAGATATATATATATAGATATATATATATATTTTATATACTGATTGGGTGGTGCATCGAAATAAAAAAAATACAAAAAAAAAAGTCTGGTCACTTATTAGTGATTTGCCCCAAGGATTTTCTAACAACATGGAGTGCAATTAAAGGTGCTTTAAATTGTGGTGTTCTAGAGTACATGCATTTTAACCACGCCAACCATGATTTTGCCAAAAAGTCTAAAGGTATGTATCATGGTTCAGTTCATATGGCACTAACTCAAGGGGTCAGTTGTTGGAATAATGTTTTAAATTAATCTTATATTATCAATTTTTTTAGTCAAGACATTTTAGATTTTGATGTACTTTCAAAATCATATTTTACATCCAAATATTTAAAGTAATTTTACTGATACTGTGAGTTACAACTTTCTTCACACCAATAGAAATAAAGGTTCTGAAAAAGCTGTGGTGGGTAGAATCGAAAAATGATGAATTAATAAGAGAGTAAGGTCAAAATGATCTTTAAATAAGCATATAATGTTAGATAATTTGCAAAACGGTCTTTAAATGATGAACTCATTCAAATTTGTTCATGCTAATTTGCTTATCTTGCACTTGACCCTTAAAACTTATTTGTTATCAAGCATACTTATTCTTAAATCTGTATTCATGGAGGTTTAACAGAGTCAAACAAAGCAACACCTGTCACATATAGTATCAATATTTTTATTATGCTGTGATTTATTCCAGAGCAGAAATATGTTTGTTAACTAATTTTGTTACACAATTTTTAGCTGACATCTAACATGTTATGTAGCTGCTACTATTCTAGTAGTACAAAATTTGGAATTCAAGCTATTTCACAATCCATCCGTAATGAAATTATGGTAATAACTCGTAATAGGTATAAGGAAGGGAAAGCTTGGAACCAACTGGACAACAAAAATGTTACAATACAGAAGAATAATTCGAGTATATGAACCAAAGGAAAATGACCCAAAATATTACAAAAAACTATTTATTTGAAAAGTGAATTAACGGGGTGTCGTCTTAGAACTGTATTTGGTCCCACACACGTGCAATGAAAGAAAACATTTAATGCTTTCGAAAACTTCAACTTTATGTTAAAAAAATTGAGCTTGATACAAATAAACCATATGAATCTAAGGCTGAATGACAACACGAATATGATTTTCATATAATTGCTTTTGCAATATAATTTATTTTGAAATTAATTAATTAAAGAAACAATTTTTTTTCCCCGGAAATTCAAACATTGTATAAGTGAAGGGGGTTATACCTTCTTATAATTGAACTGAATTTGCAATTCTTCTTACATGACGTGTTTCGAAAAGATTATACATGACTTGCAACTTTGTTACAACGTCATATATATCCAATCTTTCAATTGGTGATTCTGTTAAATAGGCAATACCAATTCTAAATATCGAAGCCAAACACTCTTGAATCTTCTAAAAATTCTCCCCCTCTTCTTCTTGTTGAAAAAGTATTGAATATGCAATATTGACTATGCTCTGTGGCAAAACCATCTTAGCATAGTTATGAAGATTCATACCATCATTGAACATTTCATCGGTTGGCCTTTTTCCTAGAAACATTTGCAATAAGAGTATTCCATAGCTGTATACATCACCAGAAGTTGACACCCCACTTCCAATACCATACTCTACATTCCACACAACCCCATGTAAAAACAAATGTAAAGGAGTTGGTTCAATTATATATCTCTTGATAAAAGAATATATAACACAATTTATCATTAGCATAAAAGTAAATATAAAAAGAAAATTCTAAAAAGATTAAACGTGATAACTGTGTTGAGCTAAGATTTCGAAGCCCAAGTTTAAGTGGTGCAAAATTTTGACAAGAATACAATTTGCTAATATGCAACCCTGAGCAAACAATTCATCTATCAAACAAATTCCTAGTCATTGTAAATATAAATCAATTAGAGTAATGAAAAGAAAAACAGAATAAGAAGTATAAATACCTGGAGGTATATAACCAACAGACCCTCTGAAGAGAACTGGTTTGATTTTCACTAATATTTTGGTTTGCATCAAGAAGGAATCTTGATATCCCATAGTCACCAACATGTGCAGTCATGTCGTCATCCAGGAGAACATTGCTTGGCTTCAAATCGCAGTGAACTATGAGAGTTTGACAATGATGGTGAAGATAATCCAATGCACAAGCAACATCAATGGCAATATGTAATCTCTAAACAAGACTTAAATCTTTTGGCACCTCACCTTGTCCTCCAATTGGATGCAACCTGTCATCTAGACTCCCATTGACCATGAACTCATAAACAAGAGCCTTGAAATCATTATTTTGGAAATCGACACTCGAACATGCACTGAGTATCTTCACAAGATTTCGATGCCTGATGTTTCTCAAGGCCTCTCATTCAGTGATGAAACTCCTAGAAGCTCCTCGGTGCAAAAGGTTAAGTACCTCCACAGCAATTTTCTTGCCATCTATTACTCCCTCATATACCAACCCCTATCAAATTAGATTCACTAAACCCATAGGTAGTTCTATACAGACTTTGGTAGGACACTCTTAAAAACAAGCCTCCTGAATCTTCTGTAGAAGGTTTTTCGCGTCTCTTTCTACACCAACAAACATATAGAGCAGAGAACACCAAAGTCACCACTAAAAGTCCCGAACCTATGGCGATTACCATCTTGAAGGAAAGAGTAGTTGAACCCCTCTTCTTAGGATCCATGAGGTTGCATCTAGGCAGCTGTAATTCAGGTATACCCCCACAAAGCTTACTATTGCCCATGATTGAAATTGCACTTGCATTCCTAAACACACCCTTTATTGGTACCATGCCATCAAAATCGTTATAAGAAAGATTCAAATACTGCAACAATTGAAAGCTCTTGAAATATTCTGGAATTTTGCCTGTAAAATTGTTGCGAGAAAGATCCAATTCTTGAATAGCTTTGAGATTGCTCAAAGATGTGGGGATGCTTCCTTGGAAGAAGTTACTATCTATATTTAAATATTCTAAACTTTCACAACTACCAATTGTTCTTGGAATTTCACCTGCTAGCATGTTCTCATGAACATACAACCACCAAGATTTTTCAAGTTTCCGACTTCTACAGGAAGGGAACCAGTGAAATGGTTTTGAGAAAGATCAAGAAAGCGTCACAAGGACAAGATATTGAAAACATGTAAGGGTATGGTACCATTGAGTTTGTTTTTAGAAAGATTCAGTAACAACAAATTTTGGCATTTTCCAAGGGACACTTCCTTGAAGATTATTTCCATTCACATATAACTCAATTAACACACTCAAATTTCCTAGAGAGGATGGAATGACTCCAGACAAATTGTTTGCACCCAAAATCAATTTATTGAGTTTCTGAAGCTTTCCAATCTGAGTCGGAATGTTACCGGTGAATTGGTTGTCCCACATATTTAGCCAATTCAAGTTGATGAGATTCCCAATTGCAATCGGGATGCTTCCAAATATATGATTATCAGATAGAGTGAAGATTTCAAGCTTAGTTGACAAGTTGCCAACAGATTGGGGAAGCATTCCTCCAAAATTATTTACGTCTAATATCAACTTCCTTAAATTGGTAGCATTGGTCAAAGAGGAGATAAAGCTCAAGTCACCTACTCCTCCACTTCCAAGATGATTACGATGGACGTTTACAACCTTAAGCTTATGAAGCCTTTCCATGGTCGGCACTCTTCCATTAAGATTGTTTTTACCGATTCCTAACCGTTCAAGGTTAGTTGCATTGGAGATTGAAATAGGAATGGATCCAGTAAATTGGTTATCGCCAAAAGACCGAGGTGTCGAAGACTTGGAAGAGTGATGCCAATGTTCGAGGGAAGTGTACCTGTGATTCGGTTATGAATCACATCAAAAATTATGAGTGATAAAAGATTGAAAATTGAGGGAGGAATGGTACGTACCAGACAACATATTGGCAGCCAGTGAAATATACACTAGTTTTGTTAGTTAGCCAAAGAGCTTTAGGAATACTCCCACTAATATTATTTTCGAATGCATCAAGTACCTCAAGAGACGATAAGTTCATAAAAGAATGAGAAATATTTCCGATTACATTGTTACGCCTAAAATACACGAACTTGAGCTTTGACAAGGAGCCAAGTTCATTAGGAATTGCCCCTACCAGTTTGTTATAAGAGAAATTAAATCCAACGAGGTTAGTGCAACCAGATAAATTGACAGGAATGCTACCACTTACTGAGTTATTATTTAGGGTTAAATATTACAATTTCCGTAGACGGCCAACTTCTGGAGGGATTTCATTTTCTAAACTATTGTTTTGGAGATTTACTGCTCTTAGAAAACTTAGATTCCCAATGTGATATGGACCCAAATAATTTCTAGAAAGTTAGGTCCAATTTGGTAACCCTTTTGTGCCCGCGACCACACCAAACACCATACCACCGACAGAAGGGAATGGAATCATTCCATGAACTCATAACATTGAAAGGATTATTGGTTATTTTGGCCTTGAATGCCAAAAGGGCAAGTTGATTGGTCTCATTCCCTCCCAGTCTGGAAGTGGCTGCAGTGGTAGGAAAGCTTGCATTCATCAAGCACAAGTAGAAACATGCAACTATAACATATATGAAAACATTGTAAAATGACCTTGATATGCTTAAGCTCATACTAGCTGAAAGTCCCATTTAAGTGCTACTTCAGTCCCTGCAGAACAATAAATAAATAAATAAATACAAAGTTTGAGGAGAAGAATTATGGTAGTTGCAATTGTGGCTAGCTAGCACTACTCTAAAGAACAATAAATTGTTGTAGTATTGTACCTGTGGAACTTGAAGTGTTTATCTTAGTGAAAAAGAATAATCACTTGCCAATTTGGCTTGGAATACTTAGGGTTTTGGGACTCTGATTGAATGAAATTAATCAAATTGTTTGGTTTTGCAAGACTTTATGAAAGAGAGTCAACACACTATGTGGAAAGAGTTACTTGACCATTGAAAAATGTATTGGGCATAAAATTTGAGTTCCCACCTGCTATAAATAAATTGCATATCTTCCATCAATTCCATTATCATCTATCATCAAAATATTATAACATATATACTACTAATAGCATTATAAGTTCTATATATATATATATATACTAACTGGCTGTCGCCATTAATCTTGCATGATTATGGCAATTTTTTTTTTTTTTTTTTTAAATTCATTTCTTACGAAGTACATAGTAGCAATATTTTTTTATTTTTGCGTTGGGATTTATTTCAAAACAGAACTATGTTATGTAATTAAATTTGTCGAGTATGTTTCAAAGTAAATATATATATATATATATATATATATAGATGATACTAAGAATATAGAGTATTTACATAATATTGGATTTTTTAAATAAAATACTATATATATTGTTTACCTTATGGTAAGTTAATGAAATAATAGAGATTCACAAAATGAGGTGGATTAACATTCATCACGAATTTTTGTAAGTTTTACACTTGTCAACAATCACACGTAAGATCTAGACGAGGAATGATTTTTTAAACTAAATGAAAAATATATATATATATATATATATGAGTGGAACTAATTTCGGTATAATATAATTGAATACATGTAGTGAACCAGATGCATGCATGCTCAAAACATCTTTGTGGCTTTGTCTGTGTGTGTTTGTGTGATGACTTCCAAGTCTATGAGACCTGATTGCTTCCACGAGGTTCTAACTTGAACATGCTAGCAAATTAATGTTTATCTAAGAATTAAAAATATATATATATTTATTAAAAATATTAAAATATTATACTTTTGAAGGGCGAAAACGCATCATTGGAGCACATGCGTTAGCTAAAATTTGGAGAATGCAAAATGCTGACATGGCTCTTCAAAAGGCTTATGTGACTTTTAAAAATTGCTGACGTAGATAAGATGGATTGCCAAATTTTGGCAATGTCATTGAGTTTCTCTAAACCAAATTGCGAAAAATGCTCATTGGAGAGGATTTTGATCCCTTTTGGATTGCCAAATTTTGGCAATACCATTGAGTTTCTCTAAACCAAATTGCGAAAAATGCTCATTGGAGAGGATTTTGATCCCTTTGGAATGGATTTTTCTTTCTTAATTTATTTTTGGAGACGGAAAACCTTTTCAATCACTGTTCTTTTGGATTTTTGATTGTAAAGTAAATCTCAAATATATGTAATCATCCACAAATCACTCTTATTATTTAATCTCAAATATTTTTGCACCCACTAAGAATCCAACCTGAACGGATTGATTTGGGTTGACATATATACATGTTTGAGACTTTTAAGTTTCAACCTTTGATTGATTATAGTCAAGAGAATTGATAAAGGTCACTTCATCATGTAACAAATGTACTGTCATCACATTAATTAGTGTGTGGACCGACGTTGAACTTTTGCTTTCTGTTATTGGTTTGGTTTGGTTCAGATGGATCTGACTTTGACACAGGAAGGTACTTGAAGACATTAAACATTTATTCTGAAATACTGTTGAGGAGGGCTGAAGTGACATGGGTCGGATATGACTTGCAAACGCGACATCCGGTCCGTAAAGATGGGTCAGGCCTATAGAAAGACATTGCCATATGGGCCGAACGCGAATAAGCCCATCAAAGGTGACCAGAACTCATAGAGGAACGGGCCTAGATCCAGCAGTCCATTGACATTTGTAAATATCTATAAATAGGAGAAGTAATGGATAGAGTAGGGGAAGATATTTTTGGTTGAAATGCAAGAAGTCTAGAGAGAGAAAGGGAGGAGAAATTTCTTGCATCTTCAATTGGCGCCGTCTGTGGGAAGCGTGGAAGATTGATTGATCATTGATTAATATCGCGTGGATTCAGACCACTCCGTGGGAACGAAACTCGATCTTTGGGAGTTGGATCCAGATCTGAGCGATTGTGACCTACTCTGGAGGAATTTTAGTTCCTGTTGCTTTGGCAGGAGTGGCTTCAGATCTACGCAACAACGAGTTGTTCGATTGTGGCAGGATCTGACGGATTTAGAATTCGGACAATTCAGATCTCGTCAACCGTGAGCATAATTCGGAGAATTCGAATCCAGATCTGAAAAATTCCCACTCACGAAGCTCGGATCTACTCACGAACTTGAGATTAATGCCTTTACTCCGTTCAGGAATAATGATAGGTGAAAGCTCCAATCCGATGGAGGCTGTCCAGCAAACGAAGCTTGAGGAGTTGATGAACTTGATCAAGGCTCTCAAAAAAGAGAATGCAGAATTGAAAGCTGGAATGCAACATCAGCAAATACCCGCGGTTTCGCGTCCACTTCCGGCCGGTGAAGGAGGTGTTCAATCTAATATCGCGCATCAAGGCGAGCAGGACGAGAACAATCAGTCAGCTCTCCACCGTGATGAAAGGAGGATGGATGATTTTCCGCCAAATGCTCATCGAGTTGAGGATCACGAAGGATCGACTCACGTTGATCCGCGACATGAGCAGATCAGACAGAACGAAGCCATGACCTTCGATCCGCATCGGGAAAGGTTCAACCGAGAGGAGGTGATAGAGGTTGATCGCCGCCAAGTTGCGTCGCCCTGGCAAAGAGAGCTCATAGAGGAACGGTCGTTCGATCCGTCCTACCGGCCCTCCATGGCTACAATTACTCATCGCAGTTCGGAGAGCAGAACCGTAGCTCACAGAGCTACCACTGGGCGCCAAAGAGAGAATGAAGCACTCCGATCCGCGGCTCGGACGGTTGATTCACCATTCACTGACGAGATCCTGAATGCCCCGCATCCAAGGAAGTTTGCTATGCCAGTCTTTATTCTGTTTGACGGAACAACCGATCCGATCGATCATGTGTACCATATCCAGTTGAAGATGGCCCTGAATATGGAAAACGACGCTTTAATGTGCAAATGTTTCCCTACAAGCCTAGCTGGACCAGCGCTCAGCTGGTTCAAGAACTTGCCTAGAAGCTCCATTGGTAGCTTCCGAGACCTGTGCGATCGGTTCATAAGCCAGTACTATGGGAACAAGCGTCCGCCAAAGGACATCTCAAGCCTATTCACAATGAGACAGC